CCCTGGGATGTGCCCCCTGGCTGCGAACAACCATCGGTGGTTCAGAATTCCCGGTGACATTCCCTGGGATGTGCCCCCTGGCTGTGAACAACCACCGGTGGTTCAGAATTCCCGGTGACATTCCCTGGGATGTGCCCCCTGGCTGCGAACAACCACCGGTGGTTCAGAATTCCCGGTGACATTCCCTGGGATGTGCCCCCTGGCTGCGAACAACCACCGGTGGTTCAGAATTCCCCGTGACGTTCCCCGCGCGCTCCCGGGCTGGGAACGAGCTGAAATAACGACCCGTTGAGGAAATAAAAATCGCAGTTGCTCCTTTACGGGATAAACTTTGGGGATTGGCAAAAACTTCCCCTCCCCACGCCTGTGCGGGCTGATTTATTCCACGCGTGTGCTTCATTCCCTCCGGGCTTGGTTTGCCCGGAACGCCCCCGCGTACATTTAACGTGCCAACCAGAATTCCAGCCGGGTGTCAGACGCCCCAGTTCGGTGTGGCAGAACGCGGAATGTGTAAAATCCTCCTGGGAAAGGCCGTTGTTTAATACCAAATTTGTGCAGCGATCAGCGGGAGGGGAGATTTCACCCGCGGAGCAGGAGCAGCCCCCCCGCCCGCCGCGCTGGGGGCAGGGGAAGGGTCCCAGCCCATTCCTGCCCTACAGGGGCCCCGCCAGCCGGTCCAGCTGCCGCGGGTTGGAGCCGCTCAGGAACTGCAGCTCCGCCTTCCCGTCCTCCGTGCGAGCTGGGGGAGAGGAAGAGAAAGAAAGAGAGATTTAGAGAGACTGAGAGAGACTGAGAGAGGGCGGGCAGAGCCCCGGGGGCACCGACCTTGCTCGTGCTGCAGCCACTTGCGCTCCAGATAGTACCCGTAGCAGCTCTCGAACTCCCGGGGGCTGTAGTTGGGCACCAGGATGGGCACGAAGGGGTCCAGGGCGTCAAACCCCTCCTAGGGAAGGGGGAAGGGAGGGAAGGCTGGGTGAGTAGCAGCTGGACACAGCCTGCATGGATGTATCTCCACAAACAGCTCCATAAACAGGAGGGTGTTTCTGCCTCTCCGTGGGGCGACTGATTAACCCAGTGCACCAAGAGCTGGAGCTCTGAGAAGGAACTTTCCTGTAGCCTTTTATTTGCTAAGGTGTGGAAAAACATGCCTTAATTTAAGGGTGTTTCCCCTCCAAGGTGAATAAAGAAAAAGGGATTCACAATTGAATCCTGCAGTTCAATTGTGAGTAACTCTGGTTCCATGAACACAGAGGAGAAGCACCTTCCAGTCACTTATGCAGTTGTATCTGAGTGACCTGATAATGTCCATGAGGAATTCTCCTTCCAACAGGTGCTTAATTTTATCCCGTGCCAGGGAAAGGACCAAAGGAAAGTCGAAGATGTCGTATTTCCATGGCAACAACCCAAGCACAGCAGCCCTCGGAGGAGGCAGAGGAGAGACTGGACTTTCTCCTCCAGTCAGCCCACCAGAAAGTTCTCAAGGACCTGTAGCTTGGGAATTAGTTGGTGTAAGGAAGCCCAGGATATGTCATTTTATGGTAGTACAGGTTTTATCTTAGATCTGAACAATTCTGCTTAAAAATACTTATTTGGTTTAATACAATTCATTCACTATGAGAAATAAATGGATATTTTCACATTTCTGCAAATTCGCTGGCCAGCTTTCTAACAAAGAGGGCTGTTGAGCACTTCAAGCTTTCTACTGACTCCACACCACTTCCAGAATACTTATTTTTACAAGTTTAGCTGAAAGATGGAGGAGAAAGAAGAAAACACATCCAGCAGTTGTTTGTGGCTGATGTGAACCTTTACCAGAGCTCAGTCGTGGAATATCCTGAGGGAAGGGAACCACAAGGATCATCCAGTCCAGGACATCCCAACAATCCCACCCTGTCCCTCAGAGCATTGTCCAAACCCTCGTGGAGCTCTGGCAGCCCTGGGGCTGTGCCCACTGCCCTGGGGAGCCTGATCAGTGCCCAACCACCCTCTGGGGGAAGGATTTTCCTGAGATCCACCCTGAGCCTGCCCTGGCACAGCTCCAGCCCTTCCCTGGCTCCTGAGAGAGCAGGGGTTGGAGCTGTCCCTCCACACAGCACAGTCTGTCCCCCTGAAGAGAACCTGGGCCCCCAACCAGGGGTTTTGTTTCCCAAAGCCAAGAGGAAAAATAAAACCAAAGCAACCCCAAAGGAGGCCCCGGGACTCACCTTGCCCAGCAGCTCCTGGGGCAGGTAGGCAGAGCTGGGTTTGAAGAGCGAGCCCGTCTGGCTGAGGGTGGTCACAACAGCCCCCCCACTCTGAAAGAAAGGCAGGGCAGAAACAAACCCTGAGAGCTGCAAGCACGGCTCTGCTTCACAATCAACCCACCAGGAACCTCCTTCTCGGGAGATGGAGCTGCTGGGGCAAGTCCAGAGCGGGCTGTGGAGGTTCCAGGGTGGAGCCCCTCTGCTCTGGAGCCAGGCTGGGAGAGCTGGGGGGGCTCACCTGGAGAAGGGAAGGTTCCAGGGAGACCTGAG